GCACCTTGACTATGATAAGCTTGTTATCAACGGAAACACGTTCGTGTGGGACAGTGAAATGAACCAACCTATCCCACTGCATGCACATGTGCGATCACAAGAAGCCGACTGACGTGACGCCAGTCATCGCAGAACTGGGAGAATCAATACTTCAAACACGTGCGTGCGCATACCACTGCTTCTTGTGAACTGTCGAAGTATTAATAATAAAGTTGACGTCTTTGTGTCTCTTGTGGCAACTACTCAAGCAAAAATTATTATGGGTACAGAATCTTGGCTGGACAGAGCCATACCTGATACTGAGGTCTTCCCACATGGCTTCACTGCTTATAGGAAAGACAGAAATCGCCATGGTGGGGACGTATTTATTCTTATAGCGAACGAGTGGACTAGCGAGGAAGTTTCTTTCCACAATTCTGCCGAAGCAGTTTGGTGCCGTGTTTTTTTACCAAAGGGAAATACTGTCGTGTTGAGTTGTTTTTATCGACTACCAGACAGCAGCGATACTCCTATGACACTGCTTTCTCAAATGGTACAGTTAATTCCAGACAGTGTACTCCTGAGTGGAGATTTCAATCTACCAGATTTTGACTGGATAACCAGTGGTACACAAACAGGTCATCAGTGTATACTTTGTTCGGCGAATTCTTGAGAGTGTTTGGTTTTTGTCAATATGTGAATTTTCCAACGAGACATGATGCCATTCTGGATTTAATATTATGTAATGACCCAAATATTGTTTCCACTGTGTCGGTGATTCCTGGTATTTGTGACCATAAGGCCATTGTGGTAGATTTAAAGATAGAATACTGCCAAGTAGCACAGGCAATACCCCGACAAATTTTCCTGTATGAACAAGGTGACTACGATTCTGTTTCTGCAGAATTAGAGCCGTATTACCCAACATTCTTGCTTTTGGCAGAAAGTCGTTGCTCGTTAGCTCTGTGGTCTTAATTTTGTGATAAGTTACTTAATGCAGTTGAAGCTCATGTACCAAACAGAATACTAAAGAAGAGAACAAAACAAAAACCTTGGTTTAATAAAGACATTTGCACGTTAATTAGGAAAGCACGAAGTTCGTACAGAAAACTTCGCGATAGGAGTACCACGTCTAATGAACAAGAGCTTAGGCATGCAAACCTGACACTAAAATCGGCGATAAAAACAAGGAAGGATACTTTTTTGCCCAATTAAGCGATAGGTTAAAGCAAAACCCGAAAGAGTTCTGGAAGTATGTTAAACTAACTAGAAAAGACGATATAGGTATTCCTGCTCTGACAGTGGAGGGTGATACTTTGTGCACCGATGAAGAAAAAGCTGAAGCTTTTAACAACTATTTCCAATCAGTTTTTACTCAAAGCACACCTGGCGATGTGGGGGTGCTTCTAGTCACGTGGCCTTCCATGAAAGACGTGGAGGTTGACATTACTGGTGTTGATTACTTGTTACGGCAGAAAGATACAACTAAAGCAGTTGGACCAGATGGTTTATCACCATTTGTTCTTAAAAACTGTCACAGCGTCATTGCAAAGTATTTATGCGTTATATATGAAATTACACTAAATACTGGAGTTGTCACACATGACTGGAAAGTTGCAAACCTTATCCCGGTTCATAAATCAGGTGATAAAAAGCTTGTCGAAAACTACAGGCCCATCTCGCTAACAGCAATTTGCTGTAAGTTATTTGAGCACATCATATACAGTGAAACAGTTAAACATCTAGAGTCAATCAACTTCCTCACTCCATCTCAGCATGGTTTCAGAAATAGACGCTCATGTGTAACTCAACTAGTCAAATTTCAGCATTACATCGCACAATCTATAGACAGTGGCGCTCAAGTAGATGCAGTGTTCCTTGACTTCCGGAAAGCCTTCGATACCGTCCCACACAATCTGTTGGAATTTGCAATGCTCTCTGCAAACATAAACCTTAAAGTTATCAATTGGGTAAAGAACTATCTAAACGATCGACAGCAGAACGTAGTGCTTAACGGATCAAATTCATCTGCGGTAACCGTTACGTCTGGTGTACCACAGGGGAGCGTATTAGGACCACTGCTTTTCCCGATTTGTCTTAATAGCATAGTCGATGGTATTACCTCTCCCGTTAAGTTATGCGCAGATGATTGTGTAGTGTTTAGAGTGATTAAATCGCACAAGGATGCTGAAATTCTGCAGCATGATCTGTACCGAATATCAACGTGGCACCAAAAATGGAAAATGAGTCTAAACGTCCGTAAATGTTGCTGTGCATCATTCACCAACCGGATTAGTAAACTAGACACAACATACGAAATAAATAATTTAATAATTAGCAATGAATTCTATTATAAGTATCTGGGCGTCTATTTTTCCGACAATTTCAAGTGGAATAAACACATTGACATAACTGTGACCAAGGCAGGCCGGATGCTATACTTCATACGCAGAAATTTTAGGCAAGCTTCACAGACCATGAAACAAACCTTTTATTTCATGTATGTAAGACCTATTCTAGATTATGCTTGGGTAATCTGGGATCACCACCAGCAATACTTGATTGACGCATTGGAAAAAGTTCAAGACGAAGCAGCCAGATTTGTTAGCAACAACTATAATTCCTTTGCAAGCATAACAGAAATGAAACGAGCATTGAAATAGGAGACACTGATGGTAAGGAGGCAGAAACTGAGGCTTAAATTTCTTCATTGTATATATTATAATGGAAATGTCATTAACCCTCTTGATTATCTGTTCACACCAACGTACCTCTCTAATCGTCAAGACCATTCACGAAAAATATTAGAATACCGTTACAAAGCCCACTCTTTAGGTAGTTCTTTTTTCGTAAAAAAAATACAGGAATGGAATCGTCTACCGGATGATCTCGTCAATGAAACTGATAATGAATCCTTTTTTTCTTCCTTGTAACAACTCCTACAATATCACTGCCACTAAGAATGGTTTGTTGTCTTGAAGCGTGTGGGTGTGAAGCGTGTGGGTGTGTCTTGAACCGTATGACTGTGACGTTCTTCTCGCTCATCAATATTCGAGTGTTTTTTTCTCTTTTCTTAAAATATTTTGAGTGCTGTTTTATTTGTTGAATGTATTGTTTCGATTGAAAACTATGTAATCAAATTATTATGTGTACCTCCCCAACGTAATTCCTCACGACGATGTAGGTGAAATGTAAGTAAATAAATAAAAATAACTGCTTCATCGGGATGATGGCAAAGTTGTGTGATGTTAAGTGTGGGCATGTTTTTCTTTGGAGTTGAAAGCAGAGTGTGCGGCTGTAGTTCAGCGAGAAATTTGAACAGAGTTGTGGTGACGCCTTTCTCTGTTGATGGTGTTTGGTGCCCCGCTTGCGATGAACCTCCATTTCGGTTTAATGCATAGGGATGGCGCCTGTTAGCTCAGAGTTACTTGTGTCTATATGATGTTGGTAATTCATTTGCACTCTTTTTTTTTTAATAACACATGTGGGGATCGAGAGCGCCCTCTTACCTGGCACCTCGTTCTCCAGCTGCCGCGTGCGTGCCGACCGCGTAGCCCGGGCGCACATAAGCACGGGCATTCGCCAAGATGGCTGCCAGGGCGCCTGTTGGTCTGGGCGAGCCAAGTATCAGCTCCGTCCCGCGCTGGCATGTCCGGGCACGCTACGCTGGCGCGCTGCGCGGGCCTACGTCACAACGCAGCGCCACTTCCCTTTGGGCCGCGCGTGACATCCTTCTTTTCTACGAGCTGTGTTGCGCCCGACGATTCGCTCGTCGCGGCAGGTGCTCTCAAGTCTTCACGAGGGATTTACGCGCTGCTCAGCAGGCGGCTTTTCGTTAGTGCATTCGACTTCGGCCCTTGTGCGTGAGTCGTCGCGCTGTAGGCAAGAGTACTAGCTCGGTCTTGCGGAGTTTCCTATACGGCCTGCAAGCCCGTGAGTGTCGCACTGGGCTGCATCTTGGGTTAATAAACCCGTTGTTGTTATCCTGCCTCAGGCGTGGTTACTGTGCCGTGTCAGAGAAAACGACGAACCCTGCTGCAGCGTCAACGCACGCAGCGGCAGTGGAGGACGTCGCATCCCTACACGGTTGCGCTTAGTAGGTAAGCCTAGTTCAAACCTATCTCCACACACGAAAAGCAAAGACGGAAAATGAGGGCGTGGTGTCCGCATCATTCCTTTCGGTCCTTGTTCGTTTTGTGCGCTAGAACTGCTGTGACACTCGGGTTAATGCATGGAGGTGATAACACAGCATATCGCTTTGTGTTAGGTGCACGTTACGAAGCTCGCTTACGTTCTAACACGTTCAATTTCTTTAAATTCATACCTATGTTTTCGTCCACCCGCAATATAGGTTGCGTGTTACTGCCGGCAGTCGTGCAGGTGTATTCGTTTGTTAAACTTGACTTGTGCTTGAACGAATCTTTCATCTCTGTGTGTTGTCAAACTGCCATACCTGAATTGTGCAAATGCTAGTTGGACCATAGGTGCTGGCGTTCGAGCACTATTCATTTTATTTGGCTCGTTTCCACCATGTCTAACTTTCATAGTATTCTTGTTATTAAGAATTGTATTTAGGTTGTCCCACTTTGGTGTTTAACTTCACTAAATACTTTTACAAGTACAAATATGATAAAATGTAGTTTATAAAAGCACCTTGAATAACATTTTCGATAAACGACAAGCTTAATGGTTTATCCAATATTGTAAGTTCCCTAGTCATACGCTACAGATGTTTAAGAGATTTTCACAATGTGAAGCATAAAATTTTTTCTTTGTTGCACAAAAAACAATGTAATATTTTACACACCGCTGAGTATGCATGCATACATGCGTTGCCCCTAAAATGTAAAGTTAGGCAGCATATTTTTCTGAGAACATGACAAATTTAGAATGCTTCTTCCAGGATCTTGGCCTTAAAACTATTTAATAACTCAGGGAATCATTTCACCGAATGATTATTGTGTGTTACAATATTACGGAAAGGATTTCAGGATTCCGGTTGCTGTACAGATTGTCAGAGAAGCTCAAATACTTTATTATAATGGTACGAAATTCATGACTGGCACTTTGTAAGCCTCAGCATTTCCACTTTTTTGCTATATGCACAGCCAATGAACAGTCTATGCTGCATTACGAAGGTAGGAAGGAGAGGTCTGCTTTTTTAGCTGACCAGCATCATTGAAACTAATGGCCGTAATTTAGCAGTATGCAATAGCCATTGAGTAAATTAGCAATTTCTTACGTTATATACTTTTAATTTCTTACGTATATACTTCGTCTACCATTTTTCATTATATATTAACAATGTTTTGATTTGCAAATTTATTGTACAACTAAAACCCCCCTATGTAATGCCCGAATGGGCCTTTAGGGTATATATGAATAAAAAAATAACCCTGTCAATGTGAGCCACCTGAAAAACACTAGTTTTATTTGCAACTAAATACAAATACACACAACTTAATTTTACATGTTACCTGCACTGGATACCTGATGAATGCGCATACCGTCATATATGCTCAGTGGCATTGTGTTTTTTTACAATAGATAAAATATTTATATGGTGTGCGTCGCATTATATTCCTTTCAAGAAACAAATTGTACGAGTGCCATGATAGACCTTCAGTAATACACATGTGAACTGTTCAAGCCAGCACACCTGAAAAGCCATTAAACATTACTGAGCAGTCATGCTACCTACTCCTTAGTATCTGTGAATTTTGTATGATGGGAATGGTGAAATTTCCATTTTACGGCATACTGCAGTCAAAATTGAAACAAGATATTAACAGTAGGCTAGTATTTCTTCTGCAATCATCATACCATCAGGTCACGTGGCAGAGCATAACTGACCCTGTCAACATACAGCTACTGCAAATTGCCAGGAATGTCACTGTTTCTTCACCTGCTGCAACCACAGAGAAAAGGGCCAACTTTAACAGGTACACAAGCCGTGTCCCTTTGTGCTTTCCTTCTCTTGAATGGAATCACACGCAAATATAATAGCACACCATCCAGTACACCAACATAACCAGAACAGGTAAGCCCACGGCAATAGAGAAGAATGATTGCAAGCAACGTGTGTAGAGACGACTAGATGATGAACGCTGACTGAGCCGCTTCTACGAAGCAGTGCCGAGCTGAAGACAGTGGCCACGAACAGCTGCCTTAAGATCTTCAGGTGAGTGCCCGCCGTGCCAGCTTCACAGGGTGGCATAGCTCATGATAAACAGCCTCTCCTCTTCCTGTTTAATCCAGTGCAGCAGCTTGCTCATGGCACGCACGGCTACATCTTTGCTCACTAATGGCTCGAAGGCTGCATACAGCTCGAATCCGGCCATGTGCTGCAACATAAAACAGGAAGTGCAGATCCAATTTCTGTTGGACAAGATGTTCATTAAAAAAACCTGCAAAAAAACTTTCTTGCACAGCAAAAACTTGAGGGAAACGGTGGTGCACATGTTGTGTGCAGTGTATACTGTCCGCAATACGTCCTGATGATATCAGCATTGCATGCCGAGACGTCCATTGACTCTCTTGTGATTCAATTACACTTAACGAAATAGACAAGATTGAAAGTTTACTTTGCTGTGTAGAAACTTTGTCATATTGAATATAACCTTTTGGTAAGGTAAAAATCAAATTATAGGTCAAATATAAACAGAAAAATGCTATGAAAAGTCGACCCTCGTCTCATATACCTGTCATAGGCAGAAAAAGAATGTGAAAGTCTCACAAGTCTCACAACAATGCACAGCTGATGTCAAAAGCCTTCATTGCCATTGTGAGCATTACCAACAGCGCTGTTGAGCAAGGCTAGGCAACTAGCAACGCCATTTCCCTTCAGTTATCTTTGTCAGTTAGCTGTTCTGTTTCTATTTCTTTCAGGAAGGAGTGGTAGTCGACGACAGTTTACGATATGCTTTAAGAAAAAAGTAATAGAGTATGCCAAAGCGCACGGCAAACTTGTGGCACAACAGGAATTAAGTGCATCGGTGAAAATCGTTCGATGCCAGAGGACCTAAAGGCAGCGCATCACGTCATGCAGCAAAAAAAAAAAAAAGAAAGAAAAAAAAATTGTTTCGTGGACGGACTGCAGTGCACCCCGAATCAGAAATGCTAGTCGCCGAATTCGTCTGGGAGCTGCGTGCAAGGTCGCTACCCGTAACAGCTGAGGGCATCCAGGTGCAAGCTCTCGAGATAGCGCGCGACTCTGGGCTCACGAGGGTGCAATTCAAGGGATTGCCATTGTGGGTGCACCGATTTATGAAGCAGAAGGGCTTCAAGCTAAGGCAGCGTACTTCTTCCGCAAATGCTGCATCGGTAATGCACTGGATGAAACAGAGGATGATGCACTCTGGGACTTTATAAGTGAAAAATAGACGTCAGACTAGAGTTCGAACGAGTCTGAGTGACAGCCCTTTGTGGCCTTCTGGTGTTTAACTACATAAAACTAGTGTCTAAATAAAAAGAAATGTCACCACAGTGCAGCTGCTTGTGTCGCACATTTACCATGGTAAGGATGCGCCATGATACTTTGAGAGTTTTTTAAATTTGTATTTCGGAGATTCAAAGTTTGGGGTGTAAACCTATATGTCAGCACGACCTATATTCCAGTTTTTACGGTAGTTTCTGAAATAATACATTTTTAACATGGAAGGTGCTGCAATAAATGTTCATGTACAAGTAAGAATGCATAAGCATACCAATTTCAATAATCATAAAAGAAGTTTCATTGAACACCATTTCAAGTTTGATGGAACATCAGTAAAGTTCTCATGGCATGTGATGGCATGTGAAGAGCCAAAACAAATGCAGTGCCAATGCTGTGACAGTGCAGTGAGTGGGCATGTCAGCTGGCCGCAGGAAGCAGCGATGTCAAACCCTTTCGTCTTCTTAATGCAGATACTTCTGCTGGGAACGTCACGGACGGCCAGCGACTATTCACCGCCGTACCTTATCGCCACGGATCACGGAAACTGCGCAAGGGATGCACTACCCCACGTGGAATTCAACTGGACACCGCCCCCTACATCGACCGATATAAAGACCCAACGTGCGCAAGACTGCTTCAGTGGGCATGTCAGCTGGCCGCAGGAAGCAGCGATGTCAAACCCTTTCGTCTTCTTAATGCAGATACTTCTGCTGGGAACGTCACGGACGGCCAGCGACTATTCACCGCCGTACCTTATCGCCACGGATCACGGAAACTGCGCAAGGGATGCACTACCCCACGTGGAATTCAACTGGACACCGCCCCCTACATCGACCGATATAAAGACCCAACATGCGCAAGACTGCTTCAGTGGGCATGTCAGCTGGCCGCAGGAAGCAGCGATGTCAAACCCTTTCGTCTTCTTAATGCAGGTTAGTGAAAAAAGCTCGTCTGTAAAAACGAGCAATCGATGTTTTCTCCAGCTGACATGCCCAAACAGCGTATGTGAATGCTTCTCGTTTGCCATGGATGTTATCCTTTCTCTCCTAATGCTTTCTGGGGATGTAGAGCCCAACCCAGGGCCTCCCATCGAGGAGGCGCTGAAGGAAATTCTGGATGGTCAGAAGAACATTCAGGATAGGCTTGAGGCTATAGAAACAAAACTTAAGAACGTTGAGGAATGTACGGCTGTAATCAAACAATTCCATAATAAGTTCAGTCAGCTCGAGAACAGCATAATGGCATTAGAAAACCAGATTGTAGACCTGGAGGACAGAAGTAGGCGCAATAATTTGATAGTGTTCGGGCTTCCAGAAGTCGTGAACGAGACAGCAGAAGGGCTCGCTAAGAGTGTAATCGAACACTTATTTCAGAAAACATTAGACGTCATGGTATGTTCAATTGAAAGAATGCACAGGTTGGGACGCAAAACTGCTCACCGGCCACGCCCAGTTATAATGAGGTTCATGGATCACCGCGAAAAATTAGCCGTGTTGATAAACTGCCCTAAACTAAAAGGGGGGGGGCATATCCGTATCAGAGGACTTTTCGGCCACTACCCGGCAAACAAGAAAGCAGCTTTGGGATAGCGCAAAAGAAGCCAAAAAAGCGGGCCAGAAGGTAAAGCTCATGCACAACAAAATCAAAATTGACGATGACATGTTTGAATGGGACAATGCCCAAGCGAAAAGAATTCCTATCTCTCGGCGCAATACCAGAACAGACTCGGCGCAATGAACTACTAAAGAGCGTAAAAAGAAGACACTCCTTTGCATGAATTTAAATGCTCGCAGCATAATAAACAAAACCGCGGACTTAGAAAGCCTTATTATCACATATAAACCACATATTTTGATAATAACTGAAACTTGGCTACACTGTGATATTGGCGATTCTGAAATAACACCCCCCGGATTCAAGGTATACCGCAAGGACAGAGGCTCTCGAGGGGGAGGTGTTGCTATTCTGTTTTTAGAATCTTTACGTGTAGTCAGATTACCCGATATGGATGGACTAGAATGTGTCGTCGTTGAAGCAATATTTGAAGAACTTCACATCATTATTGGCGTCTTTTATCGCCCTCCCAGCTGCGACACGTTTGTCGAAATATTTAACGAGTTCTTGTGCTCCTATGGCAAACATTCCTCTAATATGCTCCTGGCGGGTGACTTTAATTTCCCTTCTGTAGACTGGCAAAACGACGTACCTGAAGCCCTTAGTGCTGGTTCGGAGCCGTTTGTTGACTGCGTAGTGCTTCATGGTTTAACACAACTGGTTACTACACCCACCCGAGTGCAAAATGAAGCTGAGTCCGTTTTAGACCTGTTCCTTGTAAAAAACGGCATTATGCGACGAAATCCCCAAGTTGAGGTTTTTAAGGGTATATCGGACCATAAAATCACCTGCCTCACTATGCAATTAAACGCTCCGCTTCAAGCTACAAAAGAACAACGTCTAATACCCGATTTCACACGTGCTAGTGATGTAGACATACTTGATGTGCTTGACAGCTCGTTTCCTGAATTTGTTTCTATGTGCGGATCAAAAGAATATTCGATTGACCACATCTGGGGTTTCTTTAAAAGCGTAGTGTTTGACACAATGAATAAATTTGTACCCTTCCAGAGGAAAGTACTGAGGCAGGATAATCCGTGGATGAATAAAGAAATCGTACGCATGGGACGAAAACTAAAAAAGCAAAGAAAGCAATGTAAGCAGCGCCCATCAACAGCTGCCTCTGATAGAATGCACGATTTGCGAATGCAACTGAAAAACAAAATTAAGACAGCAAAAGAGCATTATCAGCAAGTGTCGTTAAAAGAATTCATGATTTCGTCTCCAGACAAGTTCTGGCATTATCTCGCACCGAAAAAGAACACTACTATCAGCCTTTACGTAGACGATGAGCCTGTTTACGACGGCCTAGATGTTGCAGATGCTTTGAACCGGTATTTCTGTTCAGTGTTTACTGATGACGATGGAAACATCTTGCAATTTCCTTCTTTCATTGAAGTGCCTCCTATCAGTGACGTGTGTGTCAATGAAGAAGGTGTCTTTTCCCTTCTGCTCCATCTAAATTTTAAAAAATCCCCAGGTGTTGATGGCATACCCAACGCTTTTCTTGTGAGATGTGCTGAATGGTGCGCGAAGTACTTGTGTTTACTATTTAACAAATTTCTCGAGTGCTCTGAACTTCCCGAGGATTGGGTGTATGCTAAAATCACTCCAATACCGAAAGGTAACGAAAACCGTTCTCACTTATCGTCATACAGACCGATTTCAATTCTCTCAACATGTGTCAAAACGCTCGAACATATCATATTTAAGCACATTTCACAATTTCTTGAGAGCAATTGCATTGTGGACGCCCGACAGCATGGCTTCTGCCGGGGACGGTCCAATGTAACTCAGCTTCTGGAAACGGTTCACGACTTCACTGCAACACTGGACAAACGGGGGCAAGTGTACGTCATATTCTTAGATTTTGAGAAGGCGTTTGACCGTGTGTCGCACTCAAAATTGCTGAGTAAATTGACGGCCATTTTGAAAAATGAAACTTTAGTGGCATGAATTAAATCATACCTTTCCTACAGGCAACAGAGCGTAGCCGTTAACGGCGCATGTTCTGTGGCCTCGCCAGTACTTTCGGGCGTCTCACAGGGCTCTGTTCTCGGGCCACTTTTCTTTCTCGTTTTTATTAACGATATTGTACATGACATACTGGTAAAAATTAAACTTTTCACAGATGACTGCGTTTTTTACAATGAAATCTGCAACCATAACGATCAGGCCGTCTTAAACGCGTCACTTGAAAAAATACAAACATGGTGTACTAGGTGGCAGATGACTCTTAATTACAAAAAAACTGTTTCAATGACCATTACACGCAAAAAGGCCCCGTTGAAGCAC